ATGTTTTAGAAGACCTGGGCATATAGATAAATGCCTGTATTGTATATCAACATGCCCACATGTGAAGTGATGATATCAGTTTTTCAGGAATCTGCTGTTGCTTTACAGAACGGAAGATATAAATGAACGAGACACCAGCATGCCTTTAACTAATCACCATGCCGATCAGCATCCCGCCTCAACAAAATATCATGATCCTTTTAAAAGGAGAAGAGATTTGCAAAGCTTGGTTGAGCATGGGAGTTTAATTTCTATGTAATGTTACTGAATACCATTATATTGGTCTGATGCCCTAATAATGTTTTACCATTTATTTACACAAACCCTCAACCAGTATATATATACAAATACTGTTTCTTGGAATTTCTCTCACTTGATGCAGCTATCGTTCTGTGACGGTCCCACCTGAAGACGGAAGCTTGTGTTGCCTCTGAAACGTCGTGATTTTTATTTCATTTTTATTTTACTTTTATAATTTTTTACCTACGTGACTTTACCGGAAAAACCTAAGAATATGAATCCTTGCAGTCATGAAAGCTTCAAATCTGTTGAAGTATTGTCTAACAACAACCATGCCCGACACACCATGATTGGGGGGGAGGGGGAAACCATCATCCAGCAGTGGATTTGATTGAAATAGTTTATTTTCTTTTTAAAGTATTATCAGAATATACCCCAAGCACTAAAAACTATATACAGAATGTTATAATCTCCTTGAGGTGCTGACATATGCGTTAAATGTTTGAAGCTGAAAGGCGTTATAAAAATACAAGGCAGGGAGTCTTAAAAATTTCCATTTCAAAACCCGTCCCATGAGTTTTCAAATACTTGAAAAAGAAAAATCTGATTGAATTTATTTTATATTGAACTTACTACACATATTACATGGTGTGTATGGCATCTTAATTGGATGTAAACAACAGGAAAGACCTAAATTATGTATCTAAGCAAGCTGACGATGCACAGCACTTGTATTTTAACGCTGCAAAAGGTATTTCCAAAACCACCATGAAGTAATGTCAAACTATCTATGGAGACAGATGCACAACGAACTGCAGAGTAACCATGTATTTTCAAATATTTTCACGCAAATAAACACGCACGTACACCTCGCCCAGACACGCACACATACACGTGCATTCACCTCGCCCACACGTCCCCCCCCCCACCCCCGTATGAGCAAAGTCCTTCTCGTACCCTAAACATGCACTTACACAAAGCAGCAAGTATGCATACAAAGTGCAGGCACTTACTCATGCACTTTCACACACGTGCACACAAAGACAAAGATCTCCCGTTTAGCCTCATAGACCAGAGGGAAACAGACGCCCACAAAGACAACGATCCCCTGAGTAGCCTACATAAGCTGTTGGGGCAAGCACTTGGGCGATAGTGTGGTCAGCATCACGTCTGGCTGTCTATATCTCCCCAGTGCTTATGGTAACACACCACACCATGGACTCATTTAAGGCTGTGTCGACCTATGGGAGGCCCAGGACTGGTCCAGACGGCACTTCCGTTAGCCGTGGCTGGGACTTGAACTCGGGTCGCTGGGTTTGTAGTGCAGTACGCTAACCACTATGCCACCACTTTCCCAGTGGGATGCAGGCGCACTCGTGAACGCGCACACGTGCACACGTGTACGTGCGTGTACGCGCACGCGTGCACACACGCTTGCACAGAGAGAAAGAGATCTGAATGGGGGTGGCACAGAGGGCCAGGAGGTTGTGAGCTCGTTTGTTCAAAACTCAATCCCATCCCCCAGAGCAACATGGCAGGCATTGCATTACTAACGCAGAGGCAGCGTCGCCGGCGCGCACAGCCACTGAACACATAACAAAAAATATGAACGAATAGAATGTGCGCACGTGAAACAAGTACAATAAAGCTACATTAAATAAGTACCGTACGGAGTAGTTCTCATCCAAACTAAATTAGAGTTTAACATCAATCATTGAGTTACATTTGACACAAAAAAAAACATTTCAAAAATCATGCATACCCACCCAACCGCCTCTCATGGCAGATAAAAAAAATACAGCAACTATAAAGAATTTGCTTCAAAAACAAATACTACTTACCTTATTACAATATGACAGAATACATTTTAATTTCAAAGCTGATACAGCTCAAACTAGGATCTTAAACGCATTTCCTTTCTTTACTTTACATGTGGCAATATGCATTACACGTGTGTGTGTGTGTGTGGGCATTCCTCTTGGCTTTGGCCCTAATCATTCACGGGCCCAAGAGGAGCCATTCAATGTCACGGCGCCGTTACTGTGATGGACAGGGTCAATCGATACGGCAAATTTTGGCCGTGATCGATTCCCGTCCTGAAAACTCTGCATCTGTTTGAGCTCGGAGCGGAGGCCAGATGGATCCCCATTGTAATGGGTCCGCTCGACCCGAGCCAATTTGGCCGTGACAGATTGTTTTTGGCACGCCATGACAAACTAATCAGTGTATGTATAGGGCCAATGACAAAGGTAGTGACATGGATTTTCCAGGTTAATACCAATAGATGCGATACCTTAACAAAGGGTGTGTAAAAGGTGTGTAAGACTGCCAGGGCAAGTACACATGTATATATATGTAGGGTAGTTTGAGTTTGATTATAGTGTGTGACGTACATTTTTGTATCCTTTTGGCCAATACCGCACAATCATAAAAAATATCTGTTGCAGATTATTTACACGAGTTGTATATTGTTTGCTCCAACTACATTTTGCGAGTATCGTAGGGGTACATTTGGTTGAATAAATGCAATTAACATATCTTTAAAATATTGATTTCATTTACGTTAACCTTGTCCTGAAACAGAAATTGTAAGATGTAAATTACCGAATTTGACTTTTAACAGCAAAGTTAATTAATTTCACAGGATGTGATAATGCGTTTTATGGGAGGAAAGGAAAAAAAAGACAACTGTTTCAAATTAGACACTTTCTGTGCATGATTATTAATGGACTAATGCCGGAATCCAGTTGCCAGTGGTAATGGAGCTGATGTCCGCAAAACGTAGATGTTAGCTTTAGAAATCCTGGAGTCTTAGGTCATGCTCCATCGAACACACCAAGGATGCACATGCTCCATCTTCTCATCTGCATGAATATTCTCCACGTGACTCATCTTTTGCTCAACCATATTGTTAGAACACCGAATTAATAGATTCTTACGAGGAGCTGACTGTGCCGGCTACATGGCTCTTTGAACAAAAATGCCCCCTGTGTAGTGAGCTATTTTACTTGATAAAGTGGGACATTAACGTCTCGCTATTTAAATTCAGAATTGAAATTGCAAACTCCTGAGTAATATTTTAAGCAGATTGTCGAACTGATGGATTTATCACCAGTAATCTAGTGATGTACAAGTTGATTGACCTCATTAGTATGATGGATCTCATTTTGCTCTCAGCAGGTAAACAATTCCAGATCATGTTTTAATTAATTTGCTTGCAAACCACAAAATACGTAAAAATTAGCATTTCCTAAAAAACACCTCTAATAATAATACTCATCACCAATGCAATAATATTTGCATTTAGGTACAGTACTTGACATTGGTCTTTGTCAAATTAATTTGATAAGTTCGTCACCTGTCAAGACAATATTTCCCTTCTATCCACTCACATGCAGTTCTTATTGCTGCAAATAAAACTGCAACTAGTGGTCAGATGCATCAACAAGATAATTGTCAGCCTCTTCGAGTAGGGCGATTCCATTGATCTATAAAAAAATGTGTATAATTTGTATTTGTTTTATGTTTACTAAACAGTATAGTACAAGATCAAAATACAACCCTATTAAAGACAGCATGACCCATTGACTGTACCATACAAAACATGTCCAGTCAATGCCCCTGTAATCAAAAAGACGAGCAAACCCAGTGAACTGAATGCATATACACATGGATGTGCTTGAGTAAGATATTTAATTGTTTTGTATCAACTACAATTCAGTGTTCAAGTCTTGTAATTGCATATTATCATGGGAGTAAATGGATGAAAAGGACAATTGCTTCGAATGAGACACTTTCTGCACATTATTATTTATGGGACATGCCAGAATCCAGTTGCTGGTGATCATTGAGCCAATGTCAACAAATACGAAAAACGTTAACTTAAGAAGTTCTGGAGTCACAGGTTATGCATGTAGTTCATGCAATATGATGCTAGAATAAGATGATTCATATTTATTTTGACCAATCTATGCATAATTTCTCAAAAAACAACATCCTAAACTAAACATAAAATTATCCTTTGCAATAATTGTTGTGTGTGTGTATATATAAACGATATATGTTATGGCATATAGAATAAGAAATTAGGGTTTTTGTGTGGGATAGTTTTTGAAAAGATAGTTAAAAATCCAACCAATAGCACTTTATACTTGTGATGAAGATGGAATGTGTTGCGACACCTTAAGAAAGTATAAACATCGATCTTTAAAATATAAAAAATACCAATAATGCATAAACAGAATCGTCACATTAAATCTAGAATACTTAACATTGATTACTCATCTTTCCCGGTGCACATCATCAATTAAAAATTTATTTTTAGTAGATCTTCAACTTGAAGGACTACATATATTTTTGTATAGCTAATCCAAACATTTATGTTAAAGCTCAGCAAATGGAACAAATTGGTTTATTATATTAAAGTTTAAAAAGCCAAATTGGTTTCCTGCTCAAATAAACGTGTGCATGACCTTGTCTCCTGTTTACAGCCTTAAATCATTGGTGACAATTCCACATTACTGTGGCGAGGGCAAGTCTTTCTATAGTAAAACCATCGTTTATTTCCCCACAATACATTGTAATTCGGATTTGTATCAAACCCAGAGGGATGAAGGACTGAGATAACCCCCTACTGGGATTTAAACTCCGTAACCTTTTGATTGCAGGCTCGCAAATACCACCGCTTCACCCAACCACATTGGTTAATTGAATGGGGCAATAACAATCAAATACTGATGACGAAGTGAATTCCAACTCACCCGGATTTTTACCAGCCGAGTTCTTGAGGCGCAGTGCTTCTTCAGCAGCATCCTCTGTTAATGGCAAAGAAACAACGAGGCCCATTTAAAAATTGCACACAATCCGAAATGTTTTTATGTTAAAAGGTTTACATCGGCACTATGTACTTGAAGATTATTTTCAGAATGCCATTACCAGTAATAAGTGCAGATTATACGTATGCTTGCTTTCATGGTAAACAGAAATATGTCATTGAAATATACATATATGTTCTAGTACATAACTGCAACTTGTTCATTTCATATAAAACACGCATTGGAATGTTCGTATTGAAGGGTAGTATCTAATATAAACAGTAAAAAAAATTATACATTTGTGTAAAATTTACAGCAAACACTATAACAATTTGAAACATGTTTTGCTTAAAAGATCATGATACTTAGCTGTAATACATTCATGCCGATTTAGTTATCTAAATGTGAATTTTAACAAAATGTCTGAAATATCTACAACATTTACACAGCAGTCCATATTTTCAACGTTCGGGCTCTTTGCTTATGTTTAACCAAACATGTTAACATCCAGACATATCACAATGCTGGGTTAATTTATTTATTCACATTATCCCACTATTTACAGAGCGTAGTGGGGAATCTAAACAGCTGTGCATTCCACCTATTCAAAGGTAATAACAATGAATCCACAGTCACGGCATTTAATTAACCATTCTGAACGAACAGGACGTGCTTTTGTTCCATTTTCTGCAGGTTACAAATCAAACGAAAATGTTAAATCTACTTTCCTTTTACTGGTGAAGTAGCTCAGACACGTAAAAGAAAGGCAAAATAAACCCCCCCCAAAAGTCGACGAAAGGAACCAGGCCTAGCTTAACGTGTGCCTGCATAGCATCTGGCCAGCTGCCACCAAATACCAAGCACAAGGCAGGTGGAACGACAGACAACTGAGAGGCAGAGTCTAACCCCACAGAACTTAGATGGAGAGAAAGTTTATGTTATAAAAAAAATACCCAATGACATTTACTCGTGACCGAAAGGTGTGCCAAAATATTCCTAGATTAATACAGTTACGTTTGTTCGTATGCTAATTTAGCTGTTCAGGCAATAATATTGTAAATGTTGTTAAATATATTCACACGTTTGCACTTTGAGTTGATTATTATTATGGGTTGACTCCTGGGGGTTAAATGTGTTGCAACAATGAATGTTATTATTCAAGTTTACTATAAAAAATATATATTCTATTTGCTGCCTCCTGTATGGCACTGAATCACCTCAAAGTTATTTTAGTGCAAAAAATAGGACGCATTCCAACATTATTCAGACAAAATAAATTGTATTGAATAAAGATAAGTAAAGCATGTACTGTATTAGCTTTCTTGATGTTTTACAGACAACTTCACTTTTCACTGTGCACTAATTTACATTGCATAGGATATTATAACTTTGGCAAATATAAAACTGTCCAAAACAACGTCGCTCCTGTATTGCTATCGTGCAAAGTATACCAAGTTACAGTTTTGTATTTGAAATGGGAATCACAAAGTATAACTCCCAGTCGAGGTACTTAGTCCAGAGGTCATCAAATAATTGGTCGTATTGAGAATTCTTAAGAGCTCATTTGATAGATGATAAACTTAGTATGCTCAACATATGCTTCGGAGAGTCAATACCTGAGAAATCGTTTTTTTAAGAAAACGGCATTTAAGCTTTTATGTCATAGACTTAGAAAGTGGACCTCATCGAAATAACTGTCAACTAGAATATTGTAATAATTACATTAAAATTATAACCTCTTGAATAAAATGTTATCCATCAATGTTAACCAGCCAAGCATTTCAGGTTACTGAACGTACCATGTAATTGGTCAACCAGATTGGCAATTGAAGCTTGAACTAATTGTAAGAATGTTCTCGTTGTATCATGTTGCAAAGGAATAAGAACAAGTCGTCAATAACTTTTATTTAAATAGCATTACATGACTCGACACAGGCTGCGAAAAGAAGGCCCTTTGCATACCAATGCCCCTTCTCATCCAATTTTTGACTCATACAGCAGAGCCCGTGCATCCTGTTTACTTGCAAGTGAGCCATGACATTGGTGCAGAGAATAATCCACTTACTCGTGCAACATTACTGTTAGAAGAAGGCTTCCCTCAGCCCATGGTGCTTCCGACCCTGACCAATGCAATCAAATCAATGGGCCGACCTTGCAAACCTCCCATCAAAAATTCAATCAATTCTGCCTTGCGTCCTAGACCCACACAGTTTTGCCCCTTTATTTGAACTCTGTTTGCATATTCTCCTCAAATATCAACATCGTGGTATGGATTATTTTTTATATATATACAGATCTCATGGGATAACACCATTCAATGACAGTGTTTTATATATTTGAACAGATGACAAATTCTCTCCTGCTGCAAATGAGCTATGCACTGTATATAAATGAAAACATTATATGTACAGTGCATTCTATATATGTAAAGATACACACACACGTCAATGTCATTGGCACATGTGCTGTGTTCTAATAAAAGGCATGTTATATAATCTCACCTGAAGACGGTCGCTTGTTGTTGCGATCGAAACGTCGTGATCTATTATTTTTTCTACCTACGTGACTTTACCGAAAGAACCAAAAAGTATAGGCATGTTATATAACACAAACTTAGTCTAAATTGAGTATATTTCGTTATATTTGGGTTACGTAAAATTGTAACATGCCTGTAATACCTCCCTCCTCCTCCCTTAAAATCCAATAAATTGTCACAAATTTAGGGTTGCGATTCAATTTACAAAATCGATTCCTCTTTTTCTAGTAGCTGGTTGTGGCAGCACGACAACCCATTAAATACAAGGTATACGATATTTAAATACAGGTACATGAAATTGATTCTTATGCAAGCGATTCCATGCAGAATAAATTATTTTAATCGATGAATAAAGGCATCATTACACCCTTAATATTTCCGATGTATTTTTATAATTTTCACCTAATATATATTTCTATATGATCTTGTGGGAAAAGGTATATGTTCTAAATTATATTTTATTAACCGGCTTCATTGTGAACTAAAGTGCAAATAATACAGCGCAAGGGAAACCACAAAAGGGTGAATGCATGTGTGCTCACAGGCAAGCTAGCTACTGCCCTAACACTCATTTACACATCTGGATGGGATGTGCCAGTTGATTGTGCACGGACAAAGAGGGCTGTCAAACAGCATGCAGTCCAAACAATCTCAATCCCATCTAAGACTGCTGAACCAAACAGCAAACTGTCATGTACCATTACATTCCTGGCACACTTCTGCAGCACCACAATGCATTGCGCACACGACAGCTGACGGGCACACGTTTGCATGCCACCAGAGAGGAGAAATGGTTTAACAAGCAAAAAAATTAAAATGCATAAACAATCCAAATGCCTGTAGATTTTTTTTTTACAATTGGGGAATCACATCTGGTGTCAATAAAAATAAAACGTTTCGTAACAACTTCTTTCAATTGGAAAATGAGGAAGAGGATAAGTGGTGCATGTTTAATTTTCCATGCGTATACTGTTAAAACTGGGGGTGCCAGCGGTGGTATACTGGTTGACGCACCGAGTTATGAAACTGGTGAACTGAGTTTGATTTCCGGCCATCAGTGGCGAATGATATCTGAAACGGTCCTGGGGACCTGATCCCCCCTCCTCCCTACCACCCCCCTCCCTACCACCCCCCCACACCGCCCTTTCCTTTCACCCACCAGCACTGGCCAGCATGGTCAAGAACGGTCAAACAAGCCCCATGACTGACACGGCGTGGAAAGACCTTCATCCAGAAGTGTCTTGACAAAGAGATGTGCATTCATTTTTATCTATCATTATCACCAGTGTACACTAAAGTAGTTCAGCGTGTCTTTCGTATGTTGCCAACCGTGCTTTCGTTGTAAGAAACCCTTCAGTAGCAGAAAGCAGAACAATTGTAATTAAGTTACAATAGGAAGGCTGTGCTTTCACATTTCACAAAAGCATTGGGGACACAGAGTATCTACAAGAGCACGCAAGATAAGGTCCCTGCCCTGGTTTCACGCAATGACTTTGAAGTTGTCAGTAACCGCCGAGGCCTGACTCGTGGGTTGCCCACACTGTGCTACACCGCTACCACCAGCCACAGCATAAAGAGAAGCATGAACACTTTGGACACAGAAAAACACAGCCACTGGACACAGCATCACAATGCTGATATAACACAATGACGTTAATTCAATTTTCCCAGCAAATTGTTCATGAAAGGCACGGATAACGCAACATTTCCAAGTAGCTGTGCATGGCTTCGTGTGTGGCTGATGTATTTCCCATTGTGCTATGCAAGCAAAACTCGCAGTAGCTTACACAAGAGACAAATGAGGCAATCAAGGTTCATTGCGATAAGACTTTCTGCATGAAACTTCCAAACATGTGATGGGAAATGTAAGCATAAATACAGAAGAAAATGTGTCCGCTGTAACTAATTGCATTTAGATATTTAAACCCAAATTGTATTGCAACAGTCTTGTAACCTGTAGTATAACAGTTACAATTCACAGCCCCTTGTCACTTCCACTGCTAGATAAAGGCCATGTCAGTCATGGGGGTTGTTTGACCATACTTCGTCACATCAGTCAGTGATGGTTGGTAAACTATAGTCCCAACAACAGTTCAGATATCAACTAATCATACACCACACAGAATCAGACGAAATATAAACACAACACGGAATTACTATTTTAGCCTGTCATTGTAGCAAACCAAAGTCTGAGGAAAGACACAGCAATGTAGTGAGAATAAAGATGAGCTTATGAAGGACAGAATGTAACAACACATAATTAACATGCGAATTGTTAACAATGCATCTGTCATTGCAGCATATTTAATTCAACAAAATCACACGACAGTACAGCCAGTGTGGTACACAGAGCGGCAGTCCATTTCCAGTATGTAGGACATGCATCATCACTTCGTACGAGGCGTTTTACCGAATGTCAAATGAAAACACCGCCTTCAGCTGTGACATTTTTTTTATGCAGAGC